GTTTAAGGACTTTCAGAACGTCCTACTCTTAGTAACAAGTCACGTTGTCTATAAATTCTGCTTCGAGGACACTCCAAGAAGGACAAAAATAACAAAAGTGAGCAAAACACAGGAAGAATACACATTATAGGCATCTGAATCTGAAAAAAGAAGGAAAGATAAATAACGCGTGCGTAAAGCAGCAAGGAAATGAATAAGATGTTCCGTATTCTAAATGTGGAACAACATGTAAGACAAATCGTCGCAAATTTGAATGAATTTGAATGGCTGCCTACAGAAAACACGCCTCTCAATGAATAATACATCTATGGAAACAAGGAAAAAAGTAAAAAACATTTTACAGAATTTTCAACTTAACATAACTTAACTTAACTTAATTAAAATCATATATTAAGTATCTAGTGGCTAAACAAGGACTTTACTCACGAGATTGATTAATCAATCGAGTGTTTAATAACGTTTAGCCACGTGATGCTTACGCTATTTTTTTTTTACTTCTACTTTATTTCCACGTTTAGTTTTTGTTTTGTTTTTATTTTAAATCATAAAAATTTGCTCACACACTACCTCAAAATGTAAAGTTATAAATACAATACTGCACGTCGGGTCATGAGACGCGTCGCGCCGCGACTGACGTTGCGCAGGCGCAAGCTTCGTCCCGTAAATAATACCCGTAGAAAATGAATATTACTCTCGGCTTGGCCGTCCGTATATAAAATACCACTTTTTGTATCTTAAAACAGTGGAAAACTGGCGCTTTAAATGTGGAAGTAGTAAATAGAGTTATATCTGCACGTATTGTACTTAATTAGATTGTCTATATAGTGATAATCAAATGTAAAGTTCATACCCAGTTAAAGGAGTTCATGAATTCATCCACTTCAACTGTTATTTGCTCATTCATCAGACGAAAATTGAATAATAACCGGAACAGACTGTTCCAAGTTACGATTGCGGGTATATTTCATTGCCTTCATTGCCTCCATTATGAAGTCAGTGCTTTATTTTATTAGCCTATTCAATGCATTCATAAATTCCAGCGGGAAAATTGTGCAAACCATTCTTATACTATTCCTCTTTTTATGTTTGTATGGCAAAGGCATCAATTTTTATCGTTTTCTTGTCATATTTTGGTGTTTTATTGAATTGAAAGAAATGTGAAATTCGTGGTTTGGTAAAATGACTTTTATTTGCAAAATGACTGCGGTTGTTTAACATATTTTGGGTCAAAGAAGTTAAAAAATAAATTTGAGGTATAAATTTGTATAAATTAATACCTCAATGTAAAAATTAGTAAAATTGAGCCAAAATTTCGTTTTTTATCAATAAAATGTTGTTAATCATCAAAATTTTCTGTTATTTTGGTTTAGAAATTAATTTTAAATAAATTTTTTAAGTAATCGTTAAGATAACAATTCTAGATTTTGTTTAATTTAATAAAAACTTAGTTAAAAATACAAAACGCGACTAAAACACTAAATAATAAAACTTATTATCTGAAATTATTACGACTACAGCTGTAAATTGAGAGTACTTTGAGTTATGGCTGGAATTAACACGGGATTTGGTGCCAAATGTGTCCATTTTAAAAATACGACTTTACTACCCATTATTTTAGCTTCAAACCAAGTAAAATTACTAAAAAGAACTAAAAACTTTTATTTTATACAAAATCAATATTACTTACACTATTTTCCTCTTTATATTCATTTATATTTTAATATTAAAACAATTTTAATTTATATTTGTAAAAATTGTAAATTGAAATTGTAAATACTCTATATTTGAATGTTTGAAGTCAACTTCACGGCCAACAATGAATAAATAAAAATAAATGAGCGCGAATGGAAGAAAAAGGAATAAATTAAAAGCCAAGTGTGTAAATTTGCATTTTGTTTGCATTTTTCATCTGCTGGTAGAAAGTCCAGTGAAACTAAAGGACGCACTAGAACTGGGAGGATAATTTATGAAGCGCCAAAGCACTGCAAGCAAAACCGAATCGAAAAGTTTCCTGCTTGTGCGGGTTTTCGTCTTTTTCGTTTGTCGAGGCACTATTTGCTGATATTCTCAACTTTTTGTTGTTGCAGCATTTTCATCATGTTTTTTTACTCATTCCTAAGTGTACTTTAGAGCACATATTTTTTATAGTGTGATATTGGATGTAAATCATCAAGAAAAACAATATTTTCATTAAATTTCTTAATTTTTTTCTTTTAGTCAAAGAAATAATAATAAAAATTTTAATTTAAGACGTTGGGCATCCGGCTATGACTTCCGTTTTCACATCCGGTGTCTTTTCATTCACATTCATGTTTTCTTATTTTGTTTTATTTATGTTGGTTTATTAGAATAAAATTTCAGCTTTGCCAAGATTTCTATTGTACTAGATATTATTTATACGGCTTTTTATGTTGTGTTTTTTGTTTGCTTTTGCTATAATATTTTGGTTTATTGCGCATTGCGTATTGTTGATGTTTATTTTCAACGCTCGGTTGGTGCTCTATGTCAAGCTGGTTTCATGAATAACTAAATAGCCAAAAAATACGTTTGGATACACAAAAATAGTAGGCAACCCAACGCGCAGAACGGAAAAACCAACATAAGCTTTAAATAACTTTTCGATATAAATCGATGGAAATATAAATAATAAAAAGAGTTGTGGGAATAAAACCGGGTATTTTTAGGCATAAAATGAAGACCAAAAAAAATTGTGAAGGGAGGTATTTGGTGACGTGTAGTGGAATTTATTTTACGAGACATTTTATTATCATTTTCAACATTACCTATTTGATTGTGATTGTTGTAGTTATTTTATTAGCTCATTTCTTTTATTTTCACTAAAGTATGGTATTTTTTCCAAAACTAACATGAATAGACATAAAATCAAACAAAATGAAAGTTTGTGTTGAACTTGTACTGTCTAGGTAATAAAAATAGTTATTATCTTGTTGAATTAGTCAAAAAAATTGTTAATATTAATTTAGGGAAATTAATAATGCATGTAATGCACTGTAGCGCCATCTCGATTCGAATTATATAACTATAACTTAGATTAACTCTCCATATCAACTTTCATCCCTTATATTTCACCCTTCCAATTATATTTTTGCACCAAAATGTAGCCTATCTCTTATTTTGATAATTAAACTATAATATTATAAACTTTTATCAAATTTGGTTCAGTAGTTTTTGCGTAAAAGAGTAACAAACATACAAAAACTCAACTTTGTATTATAATACGACATATTTTAATTTTTTAATAAAACAAAAGTTATGCTTGTAATTTAATGCCAAGAAAGTAGAATAAACTTTAATGATCCACGTCAACATCTTTTTAAAACCATTAAATGCACCCAACCGACTGCGTTTATCTTCGTAAGCGATTTCCAATTTTCAATTTCCGCCTGCATCCTAAGTAAGTATAATAACTCGCACAGATGCAACTCGACTGTACTCATTCAAGTAACCACCGAAAACCTACTTTAACTAACAAATAGTTGCACCACCATCAAGCAAACGCATAAAATGTAATAAAATGCAATTCTCCTCTCTGTCTCTTTGCTATCGACAGTAAATTCGATTGGTCTTGCTTGGAAAACTTGCCCCTCTCTGGGGGACACTTTGAAATACACTCGACTCTCGCCCGCGGCTGTAAGAATGTAAGATATAGCATTTTACATCCGGTCCTCGAGGATTTGCGGATTTGGCTCGCGAAGAATTCGAGTATCTGATCTAGAAAGTCGATTTAATGTTCGACCACTAGACCACGCCGGTGTATTATTCGGGTATTGGCCATTCGAGCATCGATTTCCTAATATCCTGCGGCGAAATTTCAAATTTTCCGGTTTATGACTTCACAAAGAGAATGGAAAGAAGAGCAACGCGAATTGTAGCAAATCCGTGAGCCGTTACACTGACACCGGGTGAAATAAAAGGATAAGAACAAAAATTGAATCATTTGAGGGATGAAAAAAGTAGTTCATGGTCAAATGGAAGCAAAGACAAAATTTAATTTTAAAAATCGCGTGTTTTTCGGTCGTTTTAGAGCAAAAATTGAATTTTTCTGCAAGAGGATAAAGAAAGTAATTTATTACACTCAAGGACACATTCTCAGAGTGTAATTTTTCATTATTTTCATAAATAAAAAAATTTTAATCCTAAAAATTTCATTAACCTATCAAAACTGAATATTTTTCCAATGTTTGAGTTGCAGTATAAATACCGAACACAAATTTTTGCATTTTTAGCAAATTCTATTGAAATTTCTCACGTATGTTAACGTTTAACCATTACCACAGCATAACAAGCAATTTATCCCGCCTGTAATTAATCACTCGCTTACATTCCTCCTTCAGGTTCCGCCATTTCAACGTGAATTTATGCGCTGCGCATTCGGGGCGCTTAAAACTCCATTAAAAAGTGACCAAATATAATTAAAACAATAGCGCGGTTGGCGCGCGCGGTTTTGCTTCGTTTGCTCGGTAATAAACTTAATAATTCCAGCGACACTTTAATCTTGAAGCGTTAAACACCCCGGCCGTGTGTACTTTTCGTCCCGTCCAACACTAAACACCCGACATGGTGAAACATGCGCCGTCGGGAACGTTAGCAATGCGGAGCGCATTAGTCCCGTAAATTACCCGCTCCCGCTCGTATTTTACACACATGCGCTCGTTCCGGGAGAGCAGGAAAGCAGGAATCCACTGATAACGCGACGCCCACACGCGAATTCTCGTTAAAATGTGCTTTAATTGCACACAGACGTGGAAACATGGCAGTGGCGGCTCAAGTGATAAAAAGAACGAGGATTCTGCGTTGAAATGATATGAGATAGCGTTTAGAGGTGCCAAAAACACTAAAACTTTCTATTTACAACTAAAAATATAAAAATTTCATCGTAATACAGATAAAAAGTTGCCTAACCACAAAAATTTCATTCATTCACATGTATAATACATATACATATATGTATACTTGGTTGCCTATAGTAAACGACTTACCTGATTCCCAAACACGCCAATACTGCAAGCGGATGAAACTTGACTCGGTCCGAACCATACAGCAGCAAGTCTCGCAGGAACCGACAGGATAAACACTTGTGACAGCGCTACGACGCTCTGACCGACAAAGCCAACCCAAAAGCGATCGGGATGGACGGATGCCACCTTTAACCAGGACCCTCCACACGTGCCAATAATGCCGATCAACACCGCCACGCGCAGGCCCTGTCGGACAAAAACAAAACACATATTAATTCAACTTATTCAACATGCTAATGTCCGGCGGATTGAATTTCCATTGGATTTACATTGCAAACGACCTGCGACGCCTACGCGCAACAGGACGAAACAGGACCCAAGCGGATACAACAGGTGAGGGTTGCATATTTATGAAGGCGAGACACGTGCCATCAACGTGCCAAGAGGTTTAATTTAAAAATTTTATATAAAAACAATATATTTTTATGTTTTGATGTGGATGTAACTTTGGTTGCATACGTTATATTATTATAAGGTTAATAAATTATACCAAAACATTTTTTAATGTTTTTGTGTAGATGTAAACTTGGTTGCATATGTTAAGGTTAAAAATATTTCTCAGCGGTGAAAATCCGTTGAAAGTTACAGATTACACAAGTTTAATTAATCACTGCGTAGTTAAGAGCATCGTGACTGGATGGAATTAGCAGAATTAGCCGGATCCGTGGCGTCGTAGATTCTGTGGATGTTGTAAACATGCTAGGTTCCATAGAGTAAGTTAGAATTTGCATTTGGTGAAAATATGCACGAAAATTAATTGAACTCCTTCCATCCGTACAAAAGCTATGCATTATCCTCGTTCTTCCTTCAATTTAGCACATTTTCCAGCGCTCCACATTAATTTTCTCCGCATTTTCGCAGATTTGTATTAGCGTGGTGTTAGTTTCGAGTGAATTAGAGAAAATTAGGACACATTTGGTGGATTTAGTAGTGTTTTGGGTAATTCAGGTCAAGGACTAAAGATAAAGATGAAGATGTGATGATAACAATGACTAATTATTGCATTAGGAGTTTATTAGGTGTAATTCAAATATAATGCAACCAAATATACAATAAATGTAAATATTTGAGGTTAGTTTTGGTGTTTTTCAAAACAAAAATATAAAAATACGAAATCAGTGGAAATGCAAGGCACAAAACTAGTAAAAACGGAAAACCGAATACGGAAAGCGGAAGGGATCGTAGAAAGGAAGCGGCGCCGAGCACTCCTTTCATCCTCGCCCGGAATGCTGGAAACGCACAAAGCTTTTGGATGACAGTAACACGCATCCTTTTTGTTATTCATGAATTGATATGAGTTTTGTAGATACGACTTTCGGGAATGATATCATACTCTGTGTGAAAATAGAAATATAAAAATATAAAAATATTTCATACGTGATATAAATTTTTTCTCAAAAAAAACACACACACACTGAGAGCTAGTTTGTGAGAACGTAGATTGAAATTTGTGGAAAATTGTCGGAAATTGTCGGGCACGTCGTAGAAAATCGCAGCATGTAACGATGTGGACGTGAAAGCCAAACATCGGACGTGCCGAAGGATGTCCAAGACATCCATTCGTTTTGTCACTATTTCTACAATGGCAAAAACTTGCGAAAAAAGTTCAAGAAATGCGAAAAATACTTGTTACTTAATCTTGGTGGATCTTTTCGGGCATTTTTATTGAGTGTTAGATCCTGTAACATACACCCTCATTTTTTAAAGAATAAGACTAGTTGTCAGCTTGCACAATCTTTTGCGTAGAAAGAAAATGGTGAAAGGATATTTAAAATGTCAATAGGACAAGACAAGGATAAGACAGATCTATGGAAAGCAGTGAATTGGGTATCGGATGTTCTTCTTTGAGGTTTTGCATATACCATGCAAAAAAAGAGAAGATAGAGATGTTTAAGGACCAAAAGGATCATCCCTGAATAAATTGCTTTGTCATGAATCCACACAGAAAGTGGTTTCGTGGCTAAAAATCCAAAAATTTTAGACATTTGTTCATTATAACCTAAAATAATTGTTTCTTAAGTTACAGATTCCTTCTTTGATATATTTAAATACATTGGTTGTGTTTTACTCCAGTAGATGGCGTTAGAAATCAATTTTCTAATCTTTTTTACAAAAATTAAACGTTTTTTATGCATTTTGTTGAATATTCAGAATATTTACAAGCGTATCTCACACAAGTAACGATATTTACGAGTTTCAAGTTGTCAGAAAAGTAATTTTGTGAATTGGAACGGAATTAAAACCTTCCCGCACACTGCGCCACCAACCGATACATTCCAACATTGCGCACACTTGCACAATAGCAAAAAAATGAACAACGCAAAACGTTTATTTACGCGCGCGATATAACTCACGTATATTCAACGACGATGGAATTCATTTCGGAAAAAATTGGGCACGGTGCGAAAACGTGCGCAACCGGCCGTACAAAAAGAGTGGTGGAGGGGGGGTGTGAGGAATGGAACCGATATCGTAACCTGCGAGTATGTATGGAGGCGTTTGCAAAGAGTACGAGGGTGAGAGATTCTGCGGCGTGAAATTTATGAATACGAACGACCCACAGAGGGCGACCTGTAAAGCACCTCGTATGCTTTCGCCTGTCGGGCTGTCACATGCATTGGCACATAAACTACATAACCTAGAATCAACGCTCTGGATAACTTTAAACTTTAAATTCAACTTGAGATTTATTTAATTTTGATTGTGAAAGTGATTAACACACTTAGTTTGATGTAGAGTGAAAGTTGTACGTGTCTAAAATGCAAAAAATGTGATTTTAGGTTATGTAATAAAAATGTCAACATTTTTGCAAATTATATTTATTTCTATACTGTTTTGAGCTATGTCACCTTGACATGAATAAATATATTAAAAATTTTGCATGTAAAATAAATTTCATTTGCAAAATTTGACTTTTTAAAATTATTAAAGATTTATAATGAATTTTATGTAACTAATGATCTGTTGACTATGATATACGTAAGTATAAATGTTGTTGTTGTCTGGTTTTCATCTGTTTGGTAAATGTCCATCATATTACCGAAATTACTCGTCTTATTACCCGTCTGAAGACATTTCAGACTCTCATCTTTCTTCATTATTTCATGTTTTTCATCACCTTACTCCGCCGCGTCTGGCCTTCTTTTGTTTTCTTTGTAAACCCACCAATTACGCGTGTTTTTGTGTGTTTTAGCTTTTTTCGCGTTTCAGTTTTAGAAACAAATTGGCTTCATTTACTTCATTACTTTATCACCTTCTGGAATTCGCTTCCCTTGAAGAATCATTATGTTTTTTTTGTTTGTAAGAAGAAAAACAGATGAGAAATGACAACTTTTAGTCTATATCTTCGAAGAAGTTGTAATGAAGAAAACTCTTTTCTTGTATTTAAGGACAATTAGTTTCAAAGCAGCAGACAGAATTATTAGGCTATTATTTTTGTTGTTTGTTATGTTTGGATGATTTAACTTGATGTGAGTATGTTGGTTTAGTCTGGAGTGAATAAATTTCAAGTGTGTTGGTGGAGTACGTATTTTATTGTACTTTAACCCCGCAACTTTGTGTAATCGCACAAATTCGGATAATCCTCGTAAAGTAGGAAAGTCTATGGGTTTATGTGAGCGACTAATCATGTGATTTGCATTTATGAACAGACAATTGAAGTCAATTCCCAATTTTTGTAACAAAAAACACAAAAAATTTAAAAAACACAAAAAAAAATAAGTTAAACGCCATCTACCGCCTTAAAAACTAAACTTTCCAAGTCAAGTAAGGTTAGAGGTGGTAAATGTAATGCTGCAACCAACATTACACTGTAATACATTGTAATAATTTGAAGTGTGTGATTATTTGATCTAATTTTACTTTCTACGTCTGAAAACACATTTATGAATGACACACATTTGTTTTATTGCATTTTATGACATTACACTGCAATATTTAGATATTAAATAATTGCGTCTGTGGAGATAAGAGTGTATTCGGTATGCGGATATACGAAATACCGCAAAGGTCACGTTTTAATAGCGATAAAACTATATTTTCATAAGAATCATCATAAAAAGTAAATCAGAGCACTTGGAATATTTCGATGATATAGTTAGTGATAATTCGATAATGGAATAGTCGTGTGGTAATGTTAATTAGCATAATTATAAAATTTATGAGTTTATGGATTATGTGCCATTATCATCGAATAATTGCGTTGTAAAAGCATTAATTTATCACTTCAATTAAATTTTGTGTTTAGCAACACCGCTGCATCTACTAATACACTAATTATAGTTTTTAATTAATTAGTCAATAATCAATTAGCTTAATATTAATCATTTTAGTAGAAATATATTCTAGACTAGCTTTTGTCCGAGACTTCGTCCCGGTAGTGTTTAATAAAAATGTAATTTGTTTTTACTCTCTTGTTCTAGACATCGTATGTGTCAATTCTATCAATAAGATTCGCAATTTTATTTTAAAGAAATTAATTATATAAAGAATTGCTTATAATGCACTTCAGCACGCCATCTCAGATTCAACTATTTAACTATAACTATGATTGAATCTCAATGCCTACTTTTATCCTATAGAAAAAGGCGGCCTTTAGGGTTTTCCCGGCAATTGTTCGAATTTTTCTCGCCGTAAAAACCATCGTTGGACTTTAACAAACATTTTAAATAAGGAATTGACCAAATTGATCTAGGCGTTGGTGAGTTATGCGCTTACCAACAGATTTTGCTATTTATTTTTATATTATACTCGTACATTAAAATTTATATTTGTTTATTGAAACAATTTTTAATATTTTATAAAATATTCATTTTGAATGCGTTGCAAAATAAAATTATCAAATTGAAAACAATTACTTAAAGTGTTCATTTGGTTTAGTAATGAATTCCGTTTTTCCAGGTAATGAAGTTACGTAAAAAATCAATAGGTGAAAATGTGAAAATGTGAAAAACGTAAAACGCCGCGCCTCCACCTATAACACACCGGTTTAATTTCGCGCACCGCAATGGACGAAAAATTGATTGCAAACCTAAAGTGCTAGGAGATAAATCTGTCCACCTCCTGCCAAACATCTGCCTACCGCCATCGGTGATTAATTACGCTGCCGTGTAATTCGTTTATGTGTTGTTTATAGATTGCTACGATGGCTCGACGCTTCGACAGCTTGACGCTTCAATGATTCAGGTTCAACGCCAATAAAAAACACAACAGAATTTTAAAGCATTTGGTGATTAGTAAGTGATTATTGGAGAATACGAGTATAAAATCACCTTTGGATTCATATAAGTGAGTTTAGTGTGTAAATGTAATTGTTTATAGTGGAATGAGAGTTAGTAGATATTTTGTTGATGAAATCAAGAGATGGTATTGGGCGTCAACCGAATTCATTACTTATTTCGTAACGGTGAAATTGTTTTTGCGCTAGATTTAATTTTGTTTACCCGCAGCGCGACGCCGCAGGCCGACAGGCTCGCAGGGCCGCAGGAGTCGTAACTTTAACGGTCGACAGAACAAATCCGCAAAATACACAAGCAATAAATAAAAAACGAACGTTAAAATAATCAAGATGAAAAAAGTTAAGTAGAAATACGTGATATAAATTAATTCTTTTTAAAATCAGTGAAGAAAGCAAATTAAGTAGTCAATTAAATGTGTTTTTATTGTCTAAACATTAAAGTAATCAATAAATACCAAAGTAGCAGTTATTTTCCAAAAAATTCTAAAAATTTTGGAAATTTTTGATATTTTTACATTTTTTCTACTAAAATTATATTCATTAATTAAAAATAAAATAAAAATGTTTGCTATTTCCCAATTATTTAAATAAAACATATTGTTTATTTAATTTTCCATTTAAAATAATAAAAACTTATTCCAATTTATCAAAAATTTCATTCTTCTTCCACAATTTCTTTAACTTTTCCTCGCGATAAGCAAAACTACTAAGAAAAACTTTTAAACCAAAAACTTTCACGGAAAAGAAGAAAAATATGTGAATATTCAATACCAAAAGACGTGTTATCAGTTATTGAAGCATAGTTTGAGGCAACCTGCACCGTCCTTCTATTCTATCCAGGTCTCCCGATATTTTTATTTAAAGCCGTTCGGTTCTGCATAGAACTGCGATAAATCACGCCATCTTAGCGCAAACATAAATCAGTCAATGTTTTAGTGTGCAAAATCCTCCTCAATACCTCAATACCTAACCGTAAAAAGTTTCACCGAAATTTTAAAGACAAGTCTACTGGAATTACCAACATTGCGAAACGTAAAGTAAAGTCAAGGTTACTTAAATTCTTTAACCTGTATTATAACATAGTTTTTGGTAGTTATGTCATTCAAGGTGACATGTAATTTACCAAAAAATGTCATATTTTAATAGTTTTGTTGTTAGAGTATTAAAACATTAACTAAAAATTACAAAATGTTTCGTTTTGTGGCTCAAAATGCATATTAAACATCCATACCATAATTGCGCACGCATTCCACCTCGTTTATCACGCTTTGTGTCACCGTGCGGTTAAAATAATGATAATGTATGTCACAATTCACCAGATATGGATGTTAATTGGTTGCTTATCACTGCTCCACACGAAAATTATTTTAAAATGCAAACATTACCGAAATTACAAAATTTTGCAAACATTTTTTTTATTTTTGCTAAAAAATACAAGAAATTTATCCGAATTCAATCTGTCAGAATAAAATTGAATAAAATCAACTTATACACGAGTTTTGTGTATCCTAACAGGTAAACTGCTGATAAATTTACAGAAAGACATAAATTTATGTATTTTCTTGACTAGAAATCTTCTTTTGGCATTGCCCTCTTTGTACGCTTCGCAAATCCTCCTCTATTCGTGATTTACGACCGTGAAAGTAGTTTACAGATTTCCATCTAGTTTACTAAGAAATCTATATTGATTTATACACAAAACCCCCAAAAAAAACATAACATAACCAAACATATTCAATTTTAGTGCTTTTCCTACATAAAATATCCCTAGATTTATTCAGTTGGCAGTACTAACATAACCAAACACTTTAACCTCACTTTTAACCTATTTTTTTGTTTGCTTACCAATTTATCCAGCATGTAACTGCCAGGAAAAATGAACGGAATGTAGAGAATCATGAAGATCATCGATGTCCAATCGACCCACGTCGTCGACACGCCGTAATACTTGACGACCACGTCGGCGATGATCGAGTACTGTATCCATTGCATGGCGTTGGAGGTGGAGTACAGGACGAAGATGGCCAGCACGAGCCAGCGGATCTTGTAGACGCGACACTTTTCGATCTTCGGCAGTGCATCGCCCGGCTTGCCGGAAGCCGCCGACACCGCGACGGTGGACGCTGTCGACGCGCCCGAATTACCGCCGCCGGCTGTCGTCACCGCATCGCCTTTACCTTCTTCTGCGTCCGACGCGTTCATCTTCAGTGAGTGTTAGGGTAAATTACAAACTGAAACAAAAAAATTGAGGTTTGGTTATGAATGCTATTGAAAATATTCATTTATATAGGTTTTATTTTTTTTTGAAGTTTTGTTAGTTACAACGTTTATAACTCAAGAACGGGTGGGCAGATTTTGATGATTTTTGGTTTGTGGATAGGTATTGGCTTCGATTAGGAGAATAATTATTAAAATATGAAAAAATATTATTTTAAAGGTGTTAAATAAGGGTTTAAAGTTGATATAGGGATTTTATCATAGTAATACTTAATTAATTAAATCCTAGATGGCGCAAAAATGCATTATTAACTATTTTCATTTTTTAAAATAAAATTTCAGAGCTTTTTTGTGAAATCATCACATACTGAGTGGAACAAGAAACAAAAATATAAAAAACAATTATATTTTTACTAAAAACAAGTTTATATTGATATAAACAATATTATTACACCAAAATACCTACAGAAAGTGCGTCGTCTCGTTTATAACCTCCAAAATATTCACAGTTTTCTTTATATCAAAAGTTTTTCCTCAAATTTTAACTTCAACAGTTTATATTAAAACACTGCACAACGCGTATATAAATACTGAAATTTTCAAATTTTCAGCCACGAGACGATCACAAACAAAGCCTTTTTCCTGGATAGCAAATATCAATTTCGCGTGGGTTGCGAGTTCGCGAGCGCAACGTGGACGAGGACGTGGAACGGTCGGACGCTGTTTGCGAAAAGCGACGCCGTGATCATCCCGCTGCCGAAACGCACTTCGGTGGAGGCGCGCGCAGCAGGACACGCGTGGTCCTGATCGTCCTGATGCTCCACAGCATACGAGCATCTCGCTTACTCTCATTGAATACAATCGGTGTGTTTAGTATAGAGGGAAAGTTGGTACCAACAGCGGGGCGGATCGATTTTCAAGCGCATGAATAAACTAGGATGAGATGGAGCAGGATGGAGATGCGGAGTGGAGGAATGTAGGGATGTAGGGATGTGGAAATGTGGAGAAGTAGAGAAATAGGTTTGTGGAGTATAAAAGGGATGAAATCTAACTGGAGATATCATTATCATAAGAATAAGCAAACAGAAAACATTGAAACTATTTTTTGTTGTGTTTTGGTTTAAAAATCAAAATGGCGACCGGAAATTAATGTTATTTTGATTGTTTTCATGATTCAATTAATAAAAACGTTGTTTTTAAGTTAAATAATTGCAAGTATTCGTTTAAATAAATAAAATAATCAAACACAACGCTCTTTCATTTATTTATTTATTTAATTTATTTGAGTTTTACTGATAATTTGTTTAATGAACATTGAAAAATAATTTCTTTGTTGTTTTTTTGATTTATAAACTTTGCACGTAATAAAAACATAAAACATTAATATTACAACAATAAATAAATATAAACTATGAATGAATAAATGTTTTTTATTAGAATGAGAAAATAAAAATGGCGACCGGAAATAAATGTTATTTAAATTATATTTTTGATAAAATTTTGCTCATAATTAAAAGTTTTGACATAAATAACTATAAATTACTAATAAATAACAGAAATAATCAATTAAAACGCTATAATGTTTAATTTTCAATGATAACTTGCTACCTAACCTATAAAAACTTATATTTTTGGTTGTTTTTTGATTGTAAAACCTCACAAATGCTAAAAACTTTAATTTTTACTATAAAAACATTAAAAACTTAAAAATTATAACAGTTTTTTTATACCAAGAAGAAAAACAAAATGGCGACCGGAAATTACAACAATTTTCACTCAAATTTAGAAAAAACTTTTCTTACCTTAAATAATAAATATTCCAATACAATAAATAATTAAACTAATTCCGCACTATATTATTATATATCACATCAAATCCCAATTGATTCGCAACGCAAACTTAAGAATTTAGTTTCCGTATGTGTAGCCGAATCAATTCCGACGCACGTGCAATACTAAACAATCACAGTATTTCGCCTTTACAGCTCTAAATTATTCTCAATCATGGCCGATAAAAAGCTCGCGCCCGACGTCGCACTGGTTTTTTACGCGACTGATTCGAATTGAATCACAGTAGATTCACACTCGGCAGCACTCTCGAAATCCGAATTCAAATCGCGAGGCCGCCAACGACGACGACGACAACCACGTTGAACGGACGAACGAGCTGCACTAACTCGCGGGCCTCACACAATAAAACCTTATAAACACGTCAAATGTTCATAACGAGCGGCGAACGACGCGCCGCGAAATTACTACCAAACGCGAGCGACATACACGAATCTATTCACTTCTATTATTTAACGGATTGTGAATGTGATTGTGAATGAATACGTATGCAAACGACACAAACCTGTTCCAGTTCGTTCCAGTTGTTCCTGGTTGGCACCCCTCGTGTTACGTAACACGTTATTTTTACTTTTTGCAGAGATTTTTTGCGCTTTGCTAATGTTTCTGATGTACATTTTGAGGTTTTTTTAAGATGGATACCGGAAATACCAACGGTAAATACCTTTAACTCGTTTTTTATGTTTAAAACGTGTTTTTTATTGTTAAAATTGGTTGTAATTTGTTTATGATGCAATTTTTTGTGTTTTATTGTTTTTAAATAAAACTATAAGATTTTTAAAAATGGCTACCGGATATATAAGTGGTAAACAGTTTAAACATGCTTTTTATGGTGAAAATAAATTGTATTATGTTAATAACTGCAATTTTTCGGCATTTCTCTTGTTTTTGATGACAATTTGGTATTTTCTTTAAGATGGCCACCGGAAATGCAAGCTGCTAACACGATAAACATGTTTTTTAATTGTTTTATTGTTAAAAATTGTTGTAGCTTGCTTATAACTGCAATTTTCTACTTTAATAATGTTTCTGATAAATTTTTTTACGTTTTTTATAAGATGGCGATCGGATATGGAAGTGTTAAACACATTAAACATGTTTTTTATTGTGAAAATAAGTTGTAATATGTTTATAACTGCATTAATTGTTATATAGGTAAGTGTCAGTTGTTTGGTATTGCTCAATATTAGATTTATGTGGATAATATTTGTTTAATCCGTATTATCAACGTGTACATAAACATAATGACAATTTAAATACAATGAACACTCTTAGGTTGTCTCGTAATAATTTGTTTACGAAAAGTAAACATAATACAATAATTATTATATTGTTGTATTTCAGTCACGTGTGATTCCAAAAAGTGTGACTAATGCGATTAAATTTTAGGTTCTGTTTAATGGTTAACCGTAGATTCCTATCAAAATCTTGATTATATTTTATTTTTTGTTTATATGCTGTTTATTTGAAATTATATTTTGAAAATCATAAGTGTTTGATTCTTAGAAACACTTGTAATGGAGTTGCATGTTTGAGACGCGGTATAAGTGCAGAACATGACGTATACAACCAAAAATACAAATTAGGGTGACTGCACCAGTAACAAACCAATTAAGCGACATTTTGAAAGTAATTTTGATATTGTGACTCAATTATTACAACAATCATTGCAAAAAAAGGATTACATACTCCTTGTCTATCATAGAATCATGTAGCTTATTCAAATTTTCTTAATAGCTGTTACGTTTTTGGTTATTTAACAATAAATGTGGAAAATCGCAATGTGCCTAAGGTTGACCAGACTGTACCAGCAGTAGACCAGACGTTGAGCCAATAGTGAACCACTCCTTTTTATGTAGTAATCATCACAACTTTTAATCAGTCTACAAGTTTCAAGTAATATTTAAATGCTACAAGGCTCATAATGTTGTTAACTAGTTTAAGAACTAGATAATTAACAAAAATTTGTATCACTTACACAAGTGTCATAGTTATAACACAATATTTATGAATTAACATGAATCAAAAAATTAATATAAAATAAATTAAAATAAATAGAAAACCATGAAAGTACTTCGGAAAAACATATTATTTATTATTGTATTAACTTTATTTTTATTTATGACCGTAGTGTGGGGTATGTTGTATTTTTGACATATTTCTCCAATTTTTGCACCTTTATTTATTTCATTTATCGCTTTTAACACATTTTTCTCCTTATAGTTAAAAAATGTTCTTTTCGGTGGCATTGTGTATAAAAAAATGTAGGTGGTCAGTTACTGGAATAAATCCGTGGTACGGATACTACCAGTAGTAAACCACTGGTCTACAACTGGAACATTGTGAATAATGGTATTCTTTTTGTTAAAATATCTTATTGCAACATAAAGTAAACCTAAATGTAAGAGAAAAAAGGAAAAAAAATATCAAAAAGCTAAATCACCAGTTGTAGACCAAATGGTATATTACTGGAAAATCATTCAATTCGTGTTCCAGTAGTTTACCAATGGCAATTAATGATTTAAATTAGCATTTTCAGATTAAATAAAACGTAATATTAATGCTTCACAGTCCATAGTACGCAATTGATTAGAAAAGCGGTTACAGAAATTGATATAAACAAAGATTTAAACAGAATTAAGAAAACTTTCCGTCGACGTGTCGCTTATTAGAATGGCCGCTCGAAACGAAGTGCACGATTCTTGTTACGCATTTTGCTTTAAAAACTGATGTGGATGGCGAATTTGTCGGTTTTTTTTACGATTATATGATTCGTAGAAGTACGGCATTTCTATCAAATATAAAAAAAGTGGCGGAAAATTCGACAGAACGTTAATATTTTAATGTGAAAGTGGAAATGGTGCACTACTGGTGCCTGGTGCGGCACTGGTGCACCCACCCTATATTTGTTGTTTAGGTACGTTATTATATTATTTCTTAATTATTACATAGTTACATTCCAATCACGTGTGATTCCCAAAATTGTGACTAAGATAATACAATTTTAGGTTATATGCAACATTTTATCGTAAATTCCTATCACAACATTGATTATTTCTATAATTTTTATAGCTTAGATGTGTTTATTTGCAAATACGAAGCATTTGCACTGATATTGCATGTTTGAGTTGCGATATAAGTTCAGAACACAACGTATGCAACCAAAAATACAATTTTATGTATTTACTGTTGTCATAGTCACGTAATTAGTACAAAATACATCTAAAAAAACTAAAAACTTTTTGCTCTGTGATTTTCTTCTCCAAATTATAAAAAACTACAAAATCCTTAACCTTAGTTAAACTCTATAACGCAAAATAGATTACGAATTCCAAGTGGTACTTGTGAGTTAATCAATTACTCATTATTTTATGATTCTAATCTGTTATCGCGACTCTCACTCGAATTCCTGTCGTCAACGCAATTACGCCGCATGCATAACAATGAAAATTACTAAACTGTGCGAGCATAGGCATACAAGTGTGTTATCATTTCAATTGCTTCACGACGCTGCGCTCCGCAATTATAACCGCATTAATTTGATTATGATGTAGATGTTTCGCGATGTCTCGTCGGCGTGAACCACAACAACAAACAAAGTTCAATATTAACCAAATTAATTTAGGCGATATCAAACAAATTAATTTGTAGGTGCGACAAAGGTGTGAATTATTATTTTTAAATAATATCATAATAACAAGTGGAAAAACACGGATTTAATCACTCGTGGAGCATGTGTGTACTCGTACTTGTTTCCAGCTTGGAATTGTTTGTAATTGGCATTTTTTACTAATCATTATGGTTTAGTTACCTTGGAAACTTATTATTGTTGTAATTTCTGATTGCTTTGTGATGCTGGTTGGTGATTTCCTGTGTGGTGGACATTTTTTCTTGTTTAATACATTCCATAACAAGAACCACAATTAAATGATTTAAATATATCGGTTTTTAATTGTATAGTGTTGGTATTGTCACGTGATGAATAAAAAAGGCAACAATGGTTTGGCAATTGATATGCAACACACATCTCACTTCTATAGTCTAAATATCATCAAATAAAATTAAACTCAGCAAGTATTCGCTTTGTTTTTCATATTTTTATGTTTTATAGTAATTTATTGCTTTATTTGCGTAAACTCATGCATATTTTTTGAATCAGCTGTCAAAATATGACGTACATAACATTGTAGGTTATGCCAAGCAACATAACCTTATCCAGAAACTTAAATTTCTAATTTAATTTGCACCTTCTAAAACTTTTCCAATGTTTTGTTATTCTACGATTCATAATTCAATAAATCTAAACAAAAAATGTTTTGTAAATATAAATTGATTGAAATGTAAACTTTCCAATTATTTTTGTTATGAATTCTTAATAATACGGAAATTTTGTTCGTTTATTAATTATTCCACTGATAAACTGATAATTCCTAACATAAATATTAGAAACCTCATTTTTTCGTCTGTGTTTCTGTTTATTAACCTTCCACTTAATAAAAACATCAAATTCAAATATTTTCCTTCATTAAACAACTGAAACCTTCCATGCTACGTGGAAAATTATCAAGTAAATCAATGGATATTAATTCCGTTCGGTAATAATAGTCTACCAGTTTTTGTTTGTCTTGAGGAGATAGTCAAAGGCGCAGAAAGATAAAGAAAAAACGCCGGCGCAAACACAAACGTATTTTCGAAACAATACGATGACGCCGGATAATGGCCAGATTGGGATGGTGCCAAGTCGTCCTCGCCGCCGCCTTCGTCCGCTTTGTTTGTTGCGACTCCGACTCCGGCCGGCCCAATCGAGCTGACACACTTGCGAAGCGCCAAGTGATGTTATCCTTTTCGCAGGCGAAGAAAACTCATCCAACTCTTAGTTTTGCTGCGTGTCCTCAATTTTTGCCGCTTGGGAAAATCCTGAATTTAGGATTTTTTCTTATTCTCGTATAAATAAATCAGTAAAAATATTTATTTATAATTTTTTTAAGAAAAATGTTTAAAAACACTTTTTTAAAGAAATTTTTTGAAAAAAAATTTGTTACACACTGTATAAAAGCATTTGCCTCCTTGAATTTATCTCTAGGATGTCTTGAATGTGTTTCATCATGGAATTTGGCTTCCAATCCTCTGCCGAAAAGCAAAGCGCAAGTAAAAAAGCTTTCCTATTGTTTAACGCATCAGTGTATAAGAGAATATCACGAATCGCAAATCTGGAAGCTTTTATGTGCGTTGATGTGTTTTCGATTAGTAAACAAGAACTTAGAGCAATTAAATTAAATTAAACTTTGAAAATAACACTTTTAGGACATTTTTCACACATAATTTAATCACTCATCTATTTTAAAACAATCCTACGTTGAAAATTCTCAGAAAACTCATTTGTAATTCACATACGTTATTCAAATAAGTGTTTTGTAGGTTATGTAAGTTTCCAGTAGCGTCTCGACGCCATATACACGCAAAACAACTTTTTTTAAACGACAAAAACTAAGAAATACAGTTTTAGGTATTAATATGTTCTTACAAAAGTAATAAATAAGTTTTAACAGCCCTAGGGCTATATTAACCTCAAAATACGCAAAAAACGCAAAATTTTTATGAAGGTGATCGAAAATCAACTTTTCTACTTCTTTCTTTTCTATACAACATGTCATCTTGTCATAATACACTCCAGAACATAATTAATCACTCCGCAAACTTCTTGGAGTGTTAGAAGTCGACAAGTGACTGGAAGCGTTTTATTTCGTTGACTTTCGACCAGAAAAAACATGCGATTAACTTATGCATAACTCGTTATTGAATAACAAACAACAAGCATAACAACATAACAACCGAAAAGTTCTCTTCGGGCTGGCGCGTCGGCTGAGAGAGGTGAATATAATATATGTAACATATCATAATATGAAAAGGCAAAGAAATAAACTTGTCTCCGAAGATTTACGATTCTCTGGCACGTTTTTATTATTATCCTTTATTTTCCCCGTGGATTTCATATTTCCTTCGGAAGTTTCTTATGATATAAAACGTACAAATTGTGTACAAAATGTTTATGAATAAAAAAAAGTGAATGTAATTTCGTGAAATAATTTTTTAATGTAAATTTTCATCCTAGAAAAAATCTAATATTGAAATTGAACGAAACCAATGAAAAATGACGAGTTTTGACAAGATATATGAGAATCACAAATCATTTCCGTCGTTCTCTTGAATATCCTGAGTGTGTGAAAACGTGAAAACAAAGGATCTTTTATTCTTGCGCAGAATAGCAAGAAAGATAAATGAATAAAATACGTTGAGGAACGACCTTGTCATTTTGTGGCCGCATACGTGCTGCGTAAACACATGGAATTGCTGAAAGTGTTTTTTGTTTCAAAATATTCGAAATGTATGCATATTTGGCAAACAGTTCAGTTTCCGGCGCAAGGGGGCGCCACGTTACGGTGTGCAAATTGCAAAGTGTGTAAAAAACGTGCAAACCCGGCGGGTCTTATAAAAAAATGTAAACAGCGCAAAGAACAGCAAGAAAGATAAGTAAATAAAATACGTTGAAGACCAACCTTGTTATTTTGTGGCCGCATAACCACAACGCATGAGGGCACCACGTTACGGTGTGCAAATTGAAAAGTAAGTAAAAAACGTTGCATAGTCAGCTGATCATAAAAACTAGAATGAAAACAATGCACAGAAAAGTCAGAAAGCTAATAAAATAAAATACGTTAATGAACTACCTTGTCATTTTACGGCTGTATACACACATTAAAACACTGAAAGCGTCTTTTTACATCAGAATATTGGAAATTTTTGAATATTTAGTTATCATTTCAATTGCCAACACAGAGGGCGCCACGTAACGGTTTGTAAGTTACAAAGTACACAAAAACAGTTGGTCTTCGAACAGAAAGAAAACAAAACAAAGTAATAATTGTGTGGAGAGGAACTCATAAAGGGAAAAAACAAGACTATTACTTATTTTGATACAAATCGTAGAAATATATGCTTAGGTAGTACATAAATCTGTCTAAAAACAACATTTTACATTAGTATTGAGTCAACTGAAATAAACTTGCAAATTATAATAAAATATTATCATCAATATCTTTAGGGATAGCCAGTAAATCTATCATGCAGGCTGATGCTTGTTATATCTTCACTGCTGAGAGGCACATCATCATTAGTATTATAATCCTCTCTAATACAATCTTCCATCAAAACTTTAATCTCCATCTGCACTTCTGGATCCAAAGAAGCTTTCATACTGTGATATATGCTGGGATATTTATTCTTGCCATTCTTGACTGTAACATACATTTTTTGGATTGACATCTGCTGTTTCTTCCTGATCAGTTTTAATTTCTGTTGTGCTCTTTGCCGGAATTCCGGTGTCATGTATCCATCAGCAGATTTCTTAATTCTGGGTTTTACACTGTTTTGGTTCAAGAAGTGATATTTCTTGTATCCATGGCGTTTTCTTTCTGGTCCACCCAAGCGTAGATGAACTGGAATGTTTGCATTTGGTTCTTGATCATGAGATTCTCTAGCATAGTATAAATCCTGCGCGATTCGTTTCTCCAAAGATATTTTTGGTACTCCATTTGGTTTCGATTTCGATTTGATGTGGATTTTGCGCTTCGGCGGTGTTACAGGTTGAAGAAAAACCGTTTTTCCTGTTGTTTTTTTTATTTTAAAATATTAGTTGGGGATTGTCATGAAGTTGTAGACATCTTACCGATTTCGATTTCATTCTTAATTTGAAAAGTGTCTAAATCCATCTTTAATTATACCAAAATTAAGAAGTGAAAATTATTTCAGTAGTGGTGAACTTCAACTTGGCGCACACTTGATTTGTTGACAGTTGAAATTCTTTGGTTATAATTTAGTTCCACTGTTTAAATATCTTCATGAGAGGTCGCCACCTTACGGCCAACAATTTCTCAAACAATGTTTAAAGGTTTAAACCATTCAAATGTCATTCAAAATTAATAACTAGTACTTCATTCATCATTTTTTCAAACATTTTCTCAATATTCTACATCGCTATGCATTTCAAACCATTCCACGACATGTAAATTTAACACATAATGTTTTCTCATCCTCAAAATCAACCAACACCAATGGACACTGCACAAAGCAATGTAAACTATCCAATAATAACACCTGAAAACGCCCCTAGCGATTCTCTAGAATACACAGAAAACGGCATTAGTGTAAGTCTCCTAAACTTACACATTATTTTAGTAGGAATAAGTTAATATCATCATTTTTAGTTAATTCTAGACGTGCGTGACTTTTCACCGCATGAAATAACATGTAAAGTCTCCAAACTGTTGCTTGAAGTAGTTGCTGAAAGCAATCGCGCTGGACGGTGCGGAATATTCCGAAAATACGTCATGCCACAAAACCTATCACCGCAACATTGCATTTGTCAGATGAGTAATGATGGCATGATGTTCATCGCTGTACCATGGGAAGGGCGAAACTTTACTATGTAAATAAATACAATTCATAAACAGTATTGTGGAGTTTTTAGTGTGTAACTTGATATTTTCATTTGCTTAGAACTTTACAAAACACTTAGTCCACGTTTGGTTGATATTTATAAGTTTTATAGTTTTAAATTATCGTTAATTTATAATATTGCTAACTTACTGATATCACAAGTACGAAAATTAATTACCATCATCAATAATTTCATTAGAAATTTCATTACGAGTGCGAGACGATTAAATCGCTCGCACTTTCCTTCTTTGGATGAGATTCGCGGAGTAAATGCGCTCGTCGTATTGTTGTGCTTTGATATAGAGGAAGACGCCGGCTATCACGATGATCGTGCCCAGGCCGCTGAGCATCGTCACTGGATTGCCGAACATCAACACAGAGAGCCAGATTAGAAATGCGCGTTTGGCAGTATTCGCTACACTATAATACAAATTAAATCAATTTAGTATTCTTTAAGTTAAAAAAATTGAATATACGACATTTCCATTCATGAATAATTCAAATTTCTAGATAATTTTCACGCATACATTAAAAATTTTACGAAATTATCTAGAAATTCTAATTATTCTTACAGCAAACAATTGTATAGAGTTAAAAATTACCTGTGCGTCACAGGACTAATATAGTCCATCAAAACATAAGCAGTAATACTCTGAAAGTGGAAGAATACCCCATTGAGGGTAAAATAAAACAACATTTTCACATCGAGACGATGCGCCACTGATATATCAACCAGCAGCAGCGTGGCCGGAATTTGAATAACGATACTCGCTAGACTAGTATAGAATTGAAGTTCAGCCGGTCTGAAAACATAAATTCATTCAGTAAAACACAAAATATGTTGCATGCAACAATAAATATGAATAACACATACGTGTATTTGAATTTATCACCGGATATGAGCATTTTGGAATAGACATTCTGCAAGCACTCGGTCAAATTAGTCGCCATGGCCGCGATGAACCCGCGCAGCTCAAAACTGATCTCATTCGCTGAGCATAATGCTAGGCCAGACATTACTGGCACTAGGCTTAAATTGACAAAGAGACCTGTTTGTTCACCTGTAGAATTTCAGTTTAAATGAGTTATGGTGGATAATATTGATGTAAATAATATTTACCTAATAAAATTCGAGATATTAAGACTGTGAACAGTGGAGCAGAACTTTTAATTGTTTCGGTGAAACTTACAGCTACATAGTTTAAAGCTACCAAACCAAGAACAACTGTTAAAAACCTATGGAACAATAATTTTAATATTTTTAATAAAATATGTGTTTTGTGGAATGATATTAATATATTTACCTAGTACAACCAACTAAAATCATATGTCGATAAAACCCAGGAGGTTTATTGAGTCTCGATGAAGGTTTAAACATGCCACATGGATAATACAGCTGTAAAAATCCACATGTTGCAGTTGTCAGCATCTGGCATGCACCTATAAATCAATTTTATGACCTCTGAACTTTTCTTGCGCAGAATTACACCATTTTCATGCTTTTTACATACCTAACACAGTTGGATTGCCATTTAAATATGTAAGAATATATTTATTGAGGAATAACGTGCATCCACTGAAGATGTACCATAACAAAAGAAATGTTATAGCTCGAATGTTGAGTAATCCAGATGTCCTGCTGTCATGAGTGTTGATCACTTCGAATTCCTTTCTCTCTTTGTGAATATGAATCTCTTTACTGTTTGTACTTGGAATGCTGTCCGCATTGTTCGGTGGGTCCATTATTAAATAAGTGAAAATTAAATTTGTCTACCTACAATGTAACACATGCATAATTAAGTAAATTCAGTGTTTTCTAGTGCGGCAAATGTATAATGTGCTTCGAACGTCACCTAAGTACGCAATCGTTAACCGCTTGAATTCATGTCTGTTGGTGTATGGTGCTGGCGTATTTGATACAAACACGGCGTGTTGCTTTCACTAAAATGCCACAACATTACCGGTCGCGAGTTGCAGGCGTTTATCTGCGCACGGCGTTGTTTAGCATTAGAGCATTAGAAGAATGAGCAGCGCGGTGGAACATATTGAATTCGCTCGCGTCGCCATTCGTGTGAAACTGCGATACGCGCCAGGAAACATCAAGTGTTATCCTTGTTACACTCACGGTTGCTATGTTCGTAGGTTCGTCCGGATTTGACACAAATGTATAGCATGGACAGCTGAGGCAAGGATTCAGGACACAAAGGCGTAAAGGAGAATTTAAGGATATAAAACTAAATGTAAATGATCTCATATATGTGTTTTTGATGTTGATTTAGTTTTAAATTTGCTTCTTTCTGCTGTAACTCAAAAAAATTGATGAAAAATCAAAATGTGTTTTAGTTGTTATTGCAGAAGCTAATCATGAGCATTCAAGACATAATTACATCATTCAACAAAGAAATTATCAAAGAATTCGTGCTGTTTTATTAGCTTTTGTAATGCAGTGCATGCAGCGTATTTGTATGCACCTCCATTTTGAGGTCGTTTGAGGTGATGCGTTTCATGAAACTTCTTTTTGTTATAACTTTTCATTCAGAGCAGCTACGACGTTCATTTAAGCTTCAATAGTTACATTTCGTCAAGATCTATCGATTGTGTACATAGAATTTGAATGACAAATGAATACAGCGAAGATATTAGTGTAAAAGTATAAAAAAAACATGATATGACAATGGCTACTTGATACACTGTCAAAAATCAAAATAAAAATACATCAGGATGATGAGAAACTAATGTTTTTGAATAAAAAACACCATAATATACTTTTGGATTTATATTAATGTTTACAATCAGTCATATCTTTGCATCCGGTTTCTCTACCACACACCATCACACAATTCACAGTCCTCCCAGCGTTGTACAATATCATTACAACATAGATCTTTGGATAGTTTTAGTTTAAAAGTTTAGTGGTAAACAACAAATTACAACATTCACTTATTATATATAATCTCCCCGTGCGAGCCAGGTTAGATAAATATATAGATAGCTAACGGGTAATTTGGTGTGCAATGATGGATCGCATAAATACTTTGTTGTCGAGCAAAACATATTGACATTTTCTCACGCAACAATCACATAGTTCATAAAATTAAGGTAACAAAATAATCAATGTATAATCATCAATTTATATACACGTACAATACTCGGGAAAACTCTTCGCATGAATAACAAATTATTCATCGTATGCGCAACAAATACGGAAATACGGCGTGCACGTTGCAATTATTTACTTAAACCCGCTTTGTTTGAACCCCACACACTACATCATTGAATAACAATTAAGTAGACAATTAACCAGTAAAGCTAATGTTGATTCTAACAGTCGCTAGTAGCAGAGAATAGAGCTGGACCCATATCACTTCGAATGAACATTGAAGCCAGATACGAAAAGAGAGAATGTCACATAACTAGAATACACTGAATACAATCATGTCAAGATCGGGCCTACGAGAACTGCGTAAATACTCATTTATATTTTATATTTTTGTCTCTCTATTTGGATACCACATACTTATCCTAATGCACTCTAAAAGTCCGGGCCGCATGGTTCTGTATTATATTGTTTCATGTTTGTTTGTTTTGACAAAGGGGAACGATCCACATTCCTTCGATAAAAGTATATATAGATAAATATTACCTACCGCATCATTCGTAGCTTTGTATCATTAATTTACTTAAATACGTTTAAATCGTTACGAATTTAATTTGGTATTTCGAGCACGCCTCGATTGAGCAGCGAACTTCGCAGCATGTTGAAGAGTTCGAGCTGTTGATCGGGCTTCAAGTAGAGGATTTGCGAGAGAAGCTTTTGCGGACTGTCGTTTTGGATAAAACTCGTGAGGTAGACGTTCACGAAGGTAGCCATTAGGAATTGACAATCGAAGCGGTCCATTATACCACCATGACCAGGGATTACATCGCCAAAGTCCTAAAATGTTATTGGAACATGTGGTTATGATAAGCAATGATTGTATTGTAGACGTACTTTAATTTTAAACGCTCGTTTGAACCCGGATGCGAAGAAACCACCAAACGGACCGATAACACTGCTGAATAATGACAGTGAGAGTGAATGTAGAGCGAATGGAACCACGTTAAACGTTGTAGGTGCCCCAATCTTCAAAAAAACATTATTTAGTTTATATTTCTGTGTAAAAATAAAATTTTTACTTACAAGTGCAAATATTCCAGCAACAGATGCAGGTAAAGTCAATTCGACAGGTTGAAATAGAGAGCTGGGTTCACAATCCATCGTTATAGCGCGCATGGTCTCATTATAGGCAACCGGACATACAAAGTACGGAAGTCCCGACATAAACGTCGATAGCTAAAGAAAACAAATAAATCAATCAACATCACAAAACATTTTTAACAATAAGAAAACACTTACAATAAAACCGAAAACAACAGTGGAAATACCACCGCCAATAAAACCTTCCCAGGTCTTCTTCGGCGACAATTGTATAAGCGGTGTTTTACCGAAGAAGAAGCCGAACATGTACGCCATGATGTCATTGCAGATAATCATCGAAACAGGTACAATAAACCATACCAAACCCTCGAAGATATTCTTAATGATGAGATACGACTGCAAGACGACGATGAGCAACGCGACGTGTGTCCACGCAAACAGAGAGAACTGTTTCATGTAGTAACGTTTCTTCAAAGACAGGACAAACCAGACAAATCCAAGACAATATAGACAGAAGGATATAAATCTGTGGTAAGAAACTACAGCCCTCAAGAAGTCCTAGAAATGTAAAAAAAACATCATAAAATCCATTTTTTTATATTATTATAAAGATAATATACTTACAAGTCGATTTACGGCTTCGCCAAAATAATCAATCAGACTTTCCCCATAGAAAAAGTAATTGGATGTGACCAAGAAGTACCAGGACAGTGACCTGAACCATGGCAGACCATGAATGCGATACACAGTGTACCCAATGTTGATGATCTCAGCAAAACACTTCACTTGTACCACCAAAGTCTAAAAACATCATAAATATTTACATTATAACGAAAAAATCAATCAAAACACAACTTACAGTGATCATTAGTGCAATAGGTCCAACATAAATCACAATTCCAAAGAATGTGATCATCACCAGACTGAAAATCCCACGAATCACCCAATTCCTCCATCGTTCCGGCAGGAATTCCAAGTGTGCTGCCAACACAGACGGCGCTTTATCAGTGCCAGTCGGGATGTCTTTCGAGAGATCCGTGTGCTGCTTGTCATCTTCGCTATCAAGCTGTAAACAATGTTTTGTACAAATAATTAGTGTGATAGCGTTTAATACAACTTGCGAAATGAGTTATTTGTGATAATAGTGTGACATTAAGTCTATAAATACATCTTTTCAGTGTGAATGATGAGGAAACATCAAAAAATCAATAAATTTTCGCGACGCACAAGTTGAACTCTCTAATTGAATTAATAAATTGGATTTTTTGCGCGTTCGATGAGATTTTACACTGTGAATAATCAATTTATTACGATATAAGTGGAAGTTTGATGATTGTACTATCAAACAGCAAATCAACGCGACGTAAATTAACATTTTAACTACTAAAACATGCGTAGTGTTTGAATCAAGGTTGAAATTTACAATTTCGACACATTCCTAATCGCCACCTGTTCAAATACTACAACTGCACCTTAATAAACGTAGTAAAAGCGACTTAAGTCACGCTTACTGGCTGAAAATCGCGATTTTATTCACTTCTGGTCATTGTCCAGCGTGACAATGCATGAAGCTACAAGTGTGCCAGTAATTACGGTGTAATTAAAACGCAGCGCGCGCTTGTAAATAAATAAAGCGTGAATGAGACTCACATTACTGTCGGCGGATTCGGGGTTCGCCTCCTTGGCGTCTTTGGTCGTGCGCTGACGTATCTCAGACATTTTTCATACACGATGCCGTCGGAATAGTGCGTTGCTCGCTGGCGCAATCACTACACACCCTCGCAGTGCGTGAGAGGCAGCCGTGTGCGATTAAACGGCGATTGAATTGATCATGCTCGTCGGTGCGATGCGCGCACTGAAAACTGGAGCAAACTGTCAAAACAGTGGGCTCCGACTGTGTGGCTCTGCTCTGCGCACTCCGGCCGAAAACAACCAACTGATCAATAATTTTGTGCCGTGCGCGAGGCTACTGTGGACTACGGCAGCGGTTGTTGCCACTTTGTGTTTGGGTGCGCATGCCACGTGATTCTATTTACATCGTTTCTACCTCTGTCTCGCTTACATTTCAAAAATTACTTTCATTCGGATTTTAATTGCCAAATTATTGAATCATTACATTCTACACCTTGTCATATTTGACATATGTTTACGTCGGTTTGTTTCGCCGTCGTCGATTGGCCGTGAGTCAATTCGCCGCAGGAATAAATATTTCAAGTTTTTAGATTATTTCTCGCGTAGATAATTAAATTTAGAAGAATATTAAAGTTCTTCTAAAATCTTTAACAAACAAGTTGTTTGCGGATAGAATTTTGATGAATAATCAGCAATTTTATGATTTTTCGTCACCTATTCAGCAATCATTGGTTATTCAATCGTCTTAATCGTCTATTCATTAAAACTACACTCACAAACGTATGGTATGCTATAAATACGAGATTAAACTTATATAAATCAGTATGATATTCTTCTAAAGTTATTTATTTACGCATCAAAAGTATCTAGAAACTTTTTATTATTCTTGATGCGCGGTGAAATGACGTACACCAGTTTTGAAATGACAAAAGAATACGCTTGAAAGTTTTCCAACAAAATTGTTTAGATTCCAAAACTGAACGAAAGACGTACTTTATAACCTTGACGAAATTCAAACAATTGTCTTTATTTATAATCGTTCAGATTTATTAATAAATTAGGCGCGGTCTATAAACTCAGTTAAGTGTTTGCATAGTTGCATAATATTAAAATCATCCTAACCTGAAAATTACTATCAGTTGGGAGTGGAAGTGTAAATAAGTCGAACCGGCATGATCACACGTAAAATTAATTAAAATGTGGCGTTTATTAGTGTCTATAGTAATTTTAACAGTATTAAAGACTGCTACATCAAATTCCGATAGTTTTTCCGAAGAGTTACTGCTTAGACCTTTGTATACAGACAAAGTATACTCACATTTTCAATTCACTACAAAATGGAACACAGATTCAACAGATTGTAAGTTAAAAGCTTAAAAAACATATTCAACTTTTATTTATTAATGTATACGTTTCAGTAAAACAAACACACTTGTTTCCTCGTGCGTTATCCGAAATAATCACGCGTTACAACGTCCATGAGCTTCACATCAGTCTGACTTCTGGTTTGTGGCGATATGAAACCTGGGGTTATCCAGTAACTGATGCATCACCAGGTGCTGAAGTCTGGGCATGGTTCAAAGATGACACCATTGATGTAGACAAAAACTGGGTGGCATTAGCCAACTCCCTCTCAGGATTACTTTGTGCCTCTCTTAATTTTATTGACACAACAAACACAATCACACCTGAAATATCACTGAGACCAAGAGGACTCATGCAGAATGTCAACTCAACATTCTTAAGGTATTCATCTCTACCAAGAGAAATTGTTTGCACTGAAAATTTAACACCATGGAAGAAACTGTTGCCATGTGGATCAAAAGCAGGTATAGCACAATTGTTAAATGCTGGATACATCCACAACACCCTGTATCACAGTGTTGGCTTACAATTGAGAAACATCTGTGCTAACAAAGAATGTAATCAGCATGAGTTGGAAGTTAGACAAATGGTTGACTTAGTTTACGATTACAAAATCATGGGCAGTAGAAACTGGTCACTGAGGAAATTATTTGGTCAAGGTGTGTTTAATTCCTGTCCACTAGCAGATGTAAGTGATATATTTGTGGATATATCAAGCAAAACATCAATACCTTTTGATCTAACACCAGAACCAAATGAATATGTCACTAGTATTCGCGGTGGATTTGAAAGTTTGTATGCAAAGTACAACATGAAAACATCAAATCCAATGAGTATTGGCATAACATATACCGGAAAAGAAGTGGTGAATGTTAATCTTCCTCCTCCTTTGTATGCCAGTCAATATAAAACTGGTTATGGTCAACAAAATGGCGGAATTGTCACTAAAATCCACAATAATCACTGGGCGCCATTAGATGTTGTCGTTTTACAGAATTTCCCATGGTTTGTTCCGGTTTATCTACACACCATGAAGGTGGAGAGTAATGGACAAGTCAACGAACCGAAAAAATTGATTTACAAACCGGGAAAACTCCGAGAAAAAGCGCATAACTTAGAAATTGTGTTGAAACTACCAGCGAAAAGCGTAACATCGATTTCCATTGATTTTGACTTTGTGTTTTTGAAGTGGCAAGAATACCCACCCGATGCAAATCATGGATTTTATATTGGTTCTGCGATTATTTCGACTATGCTACCCCTAGCAAGGAATTACACTGGTATCCCACAAGATGTTTCATTATTTGGAGAGTCTTTCAATGCATCACGAAGTGGATACTTGGTGCAAGTACGCACAGAATCTATTATAATCACATTACCTACACCGGATTTCAGCATGCCGTACAATGTGATTTGCTTAGCATGTACTGTGGTTGCTTTGGCATTCGGTCCACTACATAATATCACCACAAAAAGACTAATTCTAAAGGTGAGTAGTCGTAAAAACCTAGCACAAAAATTACGCGGCATTTTCGGCTCCGCTAAACCCGAAACAAGCTCTACTAATGAACCTACAACCAAATAATTTGTGTACAGTCCATTCCAATTGAATAAATAAAAATAACGTTTTCCTATAAGATTTATCATTATTCATATATAAAATATAGATATAGTAGTACATACAAATTGTTTGGTTAAAGAGATAAATTCGGTTAATCACAGGATAAAACATTGTTCACTTTCGATTAATACTTATTGCTATACCTGCAATGGATATGTCTATTACAACGTGGTGGAGTTGACAATGCTGACGCCGTGAATCAAAATGGTGGGCGGTAGCTTGTTGGTGATGATATTCAGCGTCTCCAGGTAAGGCACTGCATCCTCGGTGGCCGTCGGCGGTGGCGGAAGATAAATGAACGTCACAGCAGTGTTTATCGATTGGTGTTCAATCAAACTGTTGCAATTACGCAGGTAGACATCCGAAGATGATGATCCGCCTTGTAATTCAAACACGCTGTTCCATTCCAGCACGGGGTAAATCTCCGCGGTTATACGTAACAAATGAAGCAGTTGTTGGATCTTGTCGATGTGATTCTGTTGCGCTGTGGTGTTCATTTCGAACGTAGATGTTCTTGATTTGTCACAGACACAAATACGGAGTGTTAACTTGCGCCATTGTGGAACCATGTTGACGATACAAGCGAGTTGCATCATGAATAAGGAAGTCACTCCAAATGCGTCGTTTTCGTTCGGGTTTAATAAGTTAATCGGCCACACATCGATGTATTGTTTCTCGCGGTTCATCATTTTGTTCAGTTTATGGAAGTTGCGACAGATGCAGAGGTTTTTATTGAAACGCACGACATCTGCCATCATTTGTACATATTCCAGAGGTTTGATTTTTCCGAGCCTTGATCACTCAGAGGGAAAATATCATCTGTAAACTCAGTGCTTTGATATGACGAATCTGTACTACTCAAAAAATCAACCGAGCGTTGTTTGTCTAGGAATCCAAGTACAACTGTGTTGGGTTTCATTGCTCCCATACCAGAAAGTCGCATTAAGTGTTGTAATCCTGTTCGGACATGTTGCGCGACTGTTAACTCAACAAAAGCTTTCACTTTCAAGTGATCTATGAGATTCAACCAGTTAGGATACTTCTCCAAGGTGGGATCAGGTCCTTCCGCGTTGGGATCTGATGTAATTACGTGTCCCAGCACATAGAGACCACCTTTCTTTAAATCATTGATGAAATCAATCAGTGGACAAGCTGATCGCGGACTGTTTACAAGGAGAAGTACCTGTGGCCTCCAGAATTTCACGTGGTCCTTACGAGAGTCTAATAAGAGTAGATATTTACGGACTTGGTGGAAAATCAGCGCTTGACTTATGCTTCCCCATTGCATTTCTTTGGATGGTGAGAATAAGTGGAGGAAAATGACGAGAACTATGCAGAATAAAATACTGCATGCTGCGTACATCGGACTGATGACAAACATCATGATTGCAGTCCCTACGAGACCGATGAACGCTGTATGCCAGCTGAAGTATTTGAAAGATGGGCGGAAGTTTGGCGCACTTGCTAATTCCAAGCCTAAAATTTATTTTTTGTAAAATTTTTAAAAATTTGTAATTTTTAAGTGAATTCTTACCTAAACATGATAAATTAGTCGCTAGATAACTCAGGAGGAACAAAACAGAGTTCAACTGAGCTATCAAGTTGAGAGATCCGATTAAAAGTACCATTTCAACTAAAAACCACGAAAAAATCACAGCGGCGATTGGATTGCCTTGCCAGGTTCCCTTCAGGATGAAATCCAGTGTTGAACCTAATCAAAAACAGAATAAATAATTTTTTAAGAAGAAAAATTGTTCAAAACATACCGAAAACTCGATCTTTGGCTAAAGCTTCCAAAACTCTTGATCCACCAATAACATTACTCAATGCAGCTGACCATGTAGCAGTAATCAACCCAATCGCAATCGTGCCTTTCAACACATTAATCCCAGCTAGATATAAATAATTATACTGCAGCAAATCAATACTACAAGTTGCCGCTGTGAGAATCGACAGCGCTATATAAATCACACATGTGAATGCTACAGCACTCAATGTGCCTTGAGGAATCGCTTTCCCTGGGTTTTTCAACTCTCCGCTCATGTTTGCACCAGCCATGATTCCAGTAACGCCCGAAAACAAAACACCGAAGACTGAACCAAATGTCACCTGGACGTTATTCGCTGTATAATCAAAACCAAAATGCGGATATAGATTTTCATTAAGTGTGGTGGAATTCAGTCCGGTGTAATGCGCAATTGTTTTGTTCTCGATATTCTCGCCAGCGATTTTCACATCAAGTGGACCTTGATAGAAAAAGCTGAAGAATGTTATTGTTAAACATGCGCAGACTATGGTTAAGATGAAGACGGATGTTTTGGCGAACATGCTTGCACCAATGAGGCAAACTACTAAGTTGAGGGTGTTTATGCCCGAACAAAAGAGGAATTCCCACCATCTGCCATCAGGGACAATGTCTTCTTTAAGATGGCCTGGAATTTTAAGATTTTTGTTTATCAATGGTAAATTTATTAGTTTTTATGAAATAATTACCTCCAGGGCCGAAATTTTCCATTATTCCTTCTACACAACCGGATAAACACAGTGCACTGCTGACTACATTAGCAAAAAAGAATAATGTGCCAATGGAGCCTCCAAATTCAGGACCTAGAGTCCTACTGATCATGAAATATGCACCTCCACCTTCAACTGCACCATTTGTTGATATTGCACACACAGATGCCACAGTAAAAATTAAAATTGCATATGCAATAGCAAATTGTAGAAGTGTAATTAACAATCCAGCATTTCCAACAATATATCCTACAAAAAACATGTCATTTAAACATGGCTCATTAAATACACAAAAATTTCAAGTAACAAACCCATTCTTAGAAAGATAAGTGCTGAAAACATTGAAAGGGTAACAGGACTGAAGACACCAGCAAAGATTCCCAATGTCCTGGTGTCATTTTGTTCAGTAATTGTCCCAAATTCCACATATCCACCTTCATTCGGCTGAGTTTGTTCACGTCGACCCAAAATTCCCGAAATACGCCTCATGAATGTTCGCCCACTGCTCACCAAAGGACTTTTATCATTCAAATCATTGTTGGTTGAGCCTACTTCCGCCGCGATCATTATCACTAGACTTTTAAGATGATTTACGGTTGTTAAATACGCTGTTATTGCAAGTGTGCACTTTTTTATTCAAGTCGCTAGCGTTGCATGCGCGGCATGTACTAGTAGGTATAGAATAGGAAACAACATTCGAAGCTATGACGAATCTGACTCAGCTCGGTTTAATTCGCATTCGCCTTTGATAAGACCCACCGTATAACAAAGCCATTAATTATTTCTAGTGAATGTAGTGATACATAACATAAAACCCGAACAGATGATACTCCCACTGTTTAGTAAATAAAAACAGTTTTGGTGTTTTAGCGTACAGATGGCGCTAGGTGTATTAAAAAGTGTGAAAAATGTCAAAAATATTTCACTGAGGAAGTGCAGCTGCATTTCATCTAAATTTTTAACATATTTGTAAGAAAAATATGCTTTATTTATTTAAATAACTATGTGTTGACATTACATATTATATTTCGTGAAATAGAATAATTTTTGCACATTTTTATCATTTTTAAGTTCTAAGATGAATTATAATTGATCAGATAAAAATTATTGTGTATTACTATTGTTTATTGAACATTTACCTGTATACAGACTAGACATTGCACATAATGCAATAAAAATAATGAATTGTAAACAATTGCACGCACGACACTGCATGAAACACCTTGACGCCAATCCCCGCCATGTCTAAATAAAGCCTAAAATTTTTGATTTTGCGCTCATTTCATGTTATAACTTCGCTTGTTTGACTTCCGCGCAAAAATTTATTAACACAATATGAAAATTCCGTGCATAGAAGTGTTAAACAAATGGATACAGCATTTAAAAGAAACCACTTGGTTGCGCGTGTCTTTATTGCTTTGCATCTTTGGATTTTTAAAAGACTTTCGACCTTCGGAACCCTTTGTATACGAATTTCTGATTGGAGAATGGCGAAATTTGACAGAAGAACAAGTGTCAACAGAGGCGTATCCAGTTTCAATTTATTGTTTCATGGGATTTCAACTATTAGTTCTATTGATAACAGATATCTGTCGATACAAGGCCATTGTAGTTGGGTTAGGAGTGTGTGGAATTGTCACTTGGAGTCTTTTTTTATGGACGACATCTTTACTTGGCTTGCAATTTATTGAGGTGAGTGAATATTTTTAAAATAAGTCAATGAACGAAAGAAATGTCAATATTTTATTACTTTTGTAATAAAAAGTTAGTATTTTAAGTTGTTAAAGGTGCAATTAACACAGAAAGACAATAATAATACTTAAAAATGTTTATTTTAAAATAATCACCACATAATTTAACTTTAAACCAGTTTTTTGTTATTTTTAAACAAGAAAACATATAGGAAATAGTTTTATAGCAGTGTTTATTTACTTTGTCGTTTCTATGAGTAGTAACTGATATGAAAAGACAATGAACGGACATTGAATTGTTTTATCATTTGAATCTGCTTTCGATATAAAAACCTGTCTCCCACTCGACGACGCATGCGGCCGATATCGAGTTGTACCTTGAAGGCATTAATACGCATGCGTCGCCGCCGCCGCTTGAATATAACCTCAGAAAGTTTGAAATATTCTCGCATTCAGCGTTACACAACTTTTCGTAACGCACGCATAATCGACCGACGTCCAAACCGCGCAAAGCACGCGCTCTCAACTCGCGGTGTACTCACGTAATACGAAAATGCGCCAAACACGTCGTCGGTGTTATTCCTCATAAATGTAGCGAATACACAAGTTCTCGAAGGTCGTTTCGATAAAGCGCAATTAACGGAAGTTTCGGTGTGAATTGACAGCTTACACAGCAGCGCGACTTCGAATTAGCAATTAGTCGCGATGTCGATTTTCGTGTGCAGTGGCCTCTGGGACAAGTGGGCGCGCTATTATAGTCAGAACAGTTGGCTGCGCATCTCGCTCATGCTCTGCGTGTTCGGGTTCATCAAAGAGTTCCGGCCCTCCGAGCCCTTCATCTACGAGTTCCTCATCGGCGAATGGAGGAATATCACCGAGACGCAGGTCACGCAGGAGGTGTATCCGGTCAGCACCTACAGCCTCCTGGCGTTCCAGCTGGTCGTACTGCTGATTACTGATATCTGTCGGTACAAGGCGATTATTGTTGCGCTTGGGTTATGTGGGTGCGTGATTTGGAGTCTTTTGATATGGAGTACGTCGTTGATAGCTCTGCAAATTTTAGAGGTAAGTTAATATGAATTTTATTTTCTTGAAAAAATAATAAAACACAATCAAAGTTATTGTTTATATTTTGACTTATTTTGAATTACAATTTTTATGTTTGAAATAAAAACAAGTTTTTTTACTGAAATAGTTTGAAACTTGTTAAATTAAACATAAAACCTGCAATTGAAAATCACGTAGTAATAAAATATAAATTTTAAGTTATTGTTTCTCAATTGCATGTACCTACTTTAATTTTAATCACGTCGAAGTGTTTTATTTTTAGTTTAATATATAATTAGATTATAAAGGTATCAGTGTAATCGCCGCGATGAATGAAATACAATTAGAGCAGAGTCTAAATTTGGAGTACGCGATGGAGTGGTTCAATCCAAAGATGAAAATGCCGAAAACCTTCGGACGCTTAATTTTATGCGAGTTGCTAAGTAAGCGTAGATAGCTATGTATTTTAATTTGGTATGCAGTAAATTAAAATGGACGGTTTTTGATCTTGACCTTCAGTAATAGGTTTGTGTTTAGGATTTACTACAAAGTCGTAGTCGTAAATCACATGTTGAGGTTAGAAGTTCGCGTTGTGTTTTGACTTTTTTTAATCTTAGAAAAATGATTTTGATTGTGATTGTGATTGTTTTATTTCTGTTTATGCATTTAAATTTTAATTTAGAATCAAGTTCATTACTGCTTTTTCTTAAATTTTTGATATCAATTTCACTTTCGTCTGCATCCATTGACAAAAATTATATTGCAATTAAATGAATGATTGTATCTCATAAATCTTGAATGATTATTTATAGATTATGAATAGATTTTAATAGATAATCGGTAGTAGTGATAACGCAAGATGATGTCAGATTAGATATATCGTCAGAACAGAATGAATAATTTTGCAATCGTGATATAGGGATAAAAATAGTGTTATCTAACTGATATCGTGTAAGTTGTTCTCGCTTCCTGTGAACTACAATTGTTATTTTTACTTATAAACTTAAATATCTTAAGTTTTCTATTGGAATTTTAATTAATTTCTATTTTCATTATCGATTAGGATGTTTGATGACTTTCCGTGTTATTCTTTTGTTTCTTTTATATTGTTGTAAATTGACAATTTTCTTGTGTCACCCGGTGTAAATTGCGTCATTGGTAGACGTCAATTCTTAAAATGGAAACTTTGTTATCGTTGAATTATTTGCATTGCTCAACTTTGCGATGTAATAATGTGATGCAATAGAGTTGCGCTGGCTTTAAAATATTTTAAAATTTTGAAATTTTATTGGAGATAACAATCGAAAAAAAAGCCCGACTTGTAGGAATTACAAAGGGAATCTTGCTTTATTATATTTTGGATTCCTGACATGATTTTCTGAAATAACTACAATTTTTAAAGTTACTTCCGGTTGGATACTTGCATTAATATTCTATTAAGCTATAATTCTTTAGCTAGGCACTATAATTATTTAATTCACTTGGAGTTGCTGCAAACATAATTTGACGCTGTGATACCGCAAAGGATTAGTAGCTAACCCCTATGCGCGACGCAAACCGAAGACCGGAAGAGAATGGAGGGGAGAACCTAAGGACCTGCGACTGGACTGCTGGAAGCCTCAGGCACGATTGAGCGCGGTGCGCACTGCGCGCTGCCCTTTAATACCTGCGCCTTCCGGAGAAAAGGAGTGGGGGGAAGGTACCCCCACTCGAGTTGCCTGCAATTACGTTGCACCAACCTTCCCCCACCACTTTTAACTGGTTGAGTCGGCCAGCAGCCCAGTTGCAACCCCCTAGGTCACCTTTTTTCTCTCTCCTGCCTGACCCATAGCCCTCATGTGGGAAGGAATATTTAACAGGTGTACCGTTTTTATATTATTACATTTTCATGCATTACGTGTACATTCTCACTATTACTATTAATGAGTATCAAGAGTAATAAAAACAAGTTTATAACTGCATAACTAACCTCGTGTTAAATACGCGTATACGCTAATAAAATTTACGATAGCAGATAACATCGAAATTATGATCCAAGATTTTTCAATTACACACTTTAATTTTTCATCGTGCAATTGTGTTTTGGTTGTTATAATTCCATTATATGACACAGGCAGTGTAATTAAATGGCTTACCGCAATACTCACAAACAATTGAGATAAACTCTGGATTTTTAATTATTGCACTATATTCGTAATTCTACAACTTTTCAACTTATGACAATCAGACCTACTCCCTGCGAGAGTATACACGCGATTAAAAGAAGGGCCAATTATAAAAATGTGTGCACGATTGTAAAGTGACGTCATGGCTTCTTACTTTATGCTTCTCACCAAGTAAAACACGATAACAAGATAAATATCCTATTAGTTTCGGGTCATGTTAGGTAATGTGAACTCGTAATAATTAGATTATAATGATAACACCTGTCCCACTCATGCAAAATCCACAACTGCGCATGCGATACTCATTAAGTTTGGTATATTAGCACGGATATTTTTACTATTCCGCTATTCCTGTTTTTGCAAGTCGTTACTCGTGTCCATTCCGTGCTGTGTGCCAGTGTCAGCTTGAAATACGATAATAGATAAATAATTATAGCGTGTTATTCTGTGCAAAAGTAATTTGCGCAAACACCGAAACCCACACGTCAAATTTTAGTTCGGTTTTTTTTTTTTGCATAAATATTAAGTAATCCATCATGACGATTTCTATCTTCGGCGGTTTGTGGGAGAAAGTTTCGAAATTTTTCAATGAAAGATCATGGTTACGTATTTCTCTTATGTTGTGCGTCGTTGGTTTTCTAAAAGAATTCCGACCCTCTGAACCTTTTGTTTTTGAGTATATGATTGGTGATTGGAGGAATTTGACAGAGACGCAGGTTTCACAGGAAGTGATTCCTGTTAGTATCTATAGTCTTTTAGGGATGCAATTTATTGTATTGCTTGTGACTGATATATGTCGGTATAAAATTGTGATGATTGTGATGGGACTCATTGGTTGCGGCACGTGGAGTATGTTAATTTGGACTACGTCGTTAGTGGAACTTCAGCTTATGTGTGTAAGTGTTTATGTAGTGGTTAATTAATGTAGTTGAAAAGTTTTACCATTGCCAGGCATTTAATTGCCTTGACTTTATTAAATAGGAATGCGGGGAAATGTGGTAGTAAAGATATAATGCGTCGTAATCGTAGGCAGTAGGTAATTAGACTAGTCGTATATTTTAATTTTTTTAATCAAAGCAGTTTAACGCTTTCAATTATTTATATTATTGTCGTGGAATCACTGACAAAAGGGTTTTTATTGACGTTGGAGACTGGCATAGTTGTCATTGTTTGCAATTGCATTCGTTGTTGGGGTGTCTGGGACATTGCCATTGACCTTGACATTGTATGCTCAGTACTTGAATTTTAATATGGAAACTATTTCTCATCGAATTATTGGCATTGTTTAATTTTTTACAATGTTATAATTTATGTCATTATTATAATTTATATAATAACACAAAAAGTGTTGTGCTTGCGTAATAAGGTGATTGTTTAAAAAAAGTGTCTTGATATAATGCAATTTTATTTTCCGGTGTTTCCGTACCGGAAAGTGAAAAGCATGGTTTTTATTTAAATTTGTATGTGATTGATTTACATTTGTTCTTTTTTGTTATACATATTTCGCCTGGTGGGCATCGTCAGTAATTAATTTAATTTTGTGTTAAGTAGTTTCGTTTTGTTACCGATGCCCACGTGGCAAAACATGCTTTAACGAAGAACAAATGTAATTCATTCACGTACAAATTTGAATAAAAATGGTAATTATTGATTAAATTATAATTAATTAACATTTGAATACGTATGTCTTAATTGCGTGGTTGTCTCAATTCTTATCATATCAAATGATAAAAATTGAAATTATAGTTTCAAACGTTAAAATCAATTCACTCTGAAAAAATACCAATTAAAAAAAGAATTTGGGAGAATTATTTACTTCAAAATTTAATAATCCAATAATTCAATCTTTTTTCCTTTCATTGTATTTAATAATTTTGTATAGCATAAATTTATTCTAGTAATATTTTAAGTCAAGGTATGCTTTTACATTTTTCTATTCACGAAAAAATTACTACATGTAATGAAATGGCATTTTTACGTAAACTATTTTAGAAGATTCCTGTTTTAATAATTTCATTTCACTGATAACGTACCCCACCCTACACTCAAAAAACTACTACTGCGCATGTTACACCAACTGCATGATAGTATATTACCTCGCCAAATTTTCAAAGCCTACAATCACCTACGATTCTTGTTTGGCAACTCCTCGTTTACTATACTCAAGTTTATTTTATCTATCCCGTTTTGATACTCAAGCGATAATAGATAAATAACTGTTTTCAACCTGTGAAGTTAGTTTTAACAAAACTCGCGTCAGCAAAGTATCTGTGTGAATTGCTTATTTAAACAAGACATTTTAAGACTTTAAATTACTAACAAATTTATTATAATATTTCGCGATGATTATTTCCGTGTTTAATACCCTGTGGGGAAAAGGTGCGGATTTTTTCAAAGAACGAGATTGGTTCCGTATTTCTTTAATGTTGTGCGTCGTGGGTTTCCTAAAAGAATTCCGCCCTTCAGAAGCTTTTATCTACGAATACCTCATCGGTGATTGGCGAAATCTGACCACGACTGAAGTGTCGCAAATTGTTCTACCTAGTTGTAGCTACAGTCTTTTGGCGATGCAACTATTGATATTAATAATTACCGATATAACGAGGTATAAATTTGTGATTATTATGATGGGGATATTTGGTATTGTCAGTTGGAGCATAACAATATGGACTACAACGTTATTTGAGCTCATGTTTATGGCTGTAAGTAGTTCTTTTGCATTAGTTAAGAAATGTTTTGTCAATAATCGATTTGTGCCTATTATGTTTATCAAATGAGGGTGACTAAGGGAATGCATAATGAAGAAGAGTCACGGAAGTTTTCATGTAATAGGAAACAAATTGTTGATTGGTT